AACCAGACATAGATTTTGGAGAATCCATAAGCATTTGTTATAAATGACTCTCATCATTACATTTCTCAGGCATATAGGTTTCTGGGCTAATATTGATCTGGTAGGTACAACAGAAGTAGGCTTCCAGTAGATTGTTATGCTTCAAGTGAGCTGTGACAAGATGAAGTACGAAACCTTTAAACCTTCCGGTCTATGTTACGATGCAGTGATAATGTCATGAGCATGTCTCTGACTGACTGATGATCAGACATAATGTAACTTCTACCATCTTAAACTTCCATTCTCACACCACCAGTGCTCAGGGATAGCAATGTATGCCATCTAGTCAAGGTGCCTTCAACACTACCTTCCAAACCTGCAACCTCCTCCAACAAGAAGGACAAGGGCAGCAGAAGCAAGAGAATGCCGTGACCCAAGAGATCTCCACTAAGCCATGCGCAATCCTGATTTTAAACTATGTCATAATTCCGTCACTGTCACTTGCTCAAAATTCTGGAATTCCCTTCCTAATGGCAATGTGATTGTATCTACATCCCATAGACAGCAGCAACTTCTCAAGAGAAATTTGTGATGGGGAATAAATGCTGGCCTAACTAGCGATGCTGACCTCCTGCACCACGCCCCCTCACCTCCTGCCAACAACAAGCAAAACAAACATAGCAAATAAATGATAACAAGGTGCAGAGCTGGATGAACACAGCAGGCCAAGCAGCATCAGAAGAGCAGGAAAGCTGACGTTTCGGGCCTAGACCCTTCTTCAGAAATGGGGGAGGGGAAGGGGGTTCTGAAATAAATAGGGAAAGAGGGGGAGGCGGATAGAAGATGGATGGAGGAGAAGATAGGTGGAGAGGAGACAGACAGGTCAAAGAGGCGGGGATGGAGCCAGTAAAGGTGAGTGTAGGTGGGGAGTTAGGGAGAAGATAGGTCAGTCCAGGGAGGACAGACAGGTCAAGGGGGCGGGATGAGGTTAGTAGGTAGGAGATGGGGGTGGGGCTTGAGGTGGGAGGAGGGGATAGGTGGGAGGAAGGACAGGTTAGGGAGGCGGGGGTGAGCTGGGCTGGTTTTGGGATGCGGTCGGGGGCAGGGAGATTTTGAAGCTTGTGAAATCCACATTGATACCATTGGGCTGCAGGGTTCCCAAGGGAAATATGAGATGCTGTCCCTGCAACCTTCGCGTGGCATCATTGTGGCACTGCAGGAGGCCCAGGATGGACATGTCATCCGAGGAGTGGGAGGGGGAGTTGAAGTGGTTCGTGACTGGGAGGTGCAGTTGTTTAGTGCGAACCGAGCATAGGTGTTCTGCAAAGCGGTCCCCAAGCCTCCGTTTGGTTTCCCCGATGTAGAGGAGGCCACATCAGGAACAGCGGATACAGTATACCACATTAGCAGATGTGCAGGTGAACATCTGTTTGATGTGGAAGGTTTTCTTGGGGCCTGGGATGGGGGTGAGGGGGGAGGTGTAGGGACAGGTGTAGCACTTCCTGCGGTTGCAGGGAAAAGTGCCGGGTGTGGTGGGGCTAGAGGGGAGTGTGAAGTGGACAAGGGAGTCACGGAAAGAGTGGTCCCTCTGGAAGGCAGATAAGGGTGGGGAGGGAAATATGTCTTTGGTGGTGGGGTCAGATTGTAGGTGGTGGAAGTGCCGGAGAATGATGCGTTGTATCCGGAGGTTGGTGGGGTGGTACGTGAGGATGAAGGGGATTCTGTTTTTGTTGTTATTGCGGGAAACGCAAGAGATGAGGTTGAGGGCGTATTCAACCACTGTGGAGGAGAATTTGCGGTCCTTGAAAAACGAAGACATCTAGGATGTCCGGGAGTGAAATGCCTCATCTCGTGAGCAGATGCGGCGGAGGCGAAGAAATTGGAGGTTGTTTTATTGGGGGCGATTTTAACTTTGCATTGATTTGGAGGAGCACGCAGCACATTTCACACAGTTAATGAATTTCTTAAGTGAGTTGGGAACAGTTTTCTGAAACGATATATCCAAGAACTTACAAAGGGCAAACCATATTAGATTTAATCATGAGTGATGAGTGTGATTTAGATAAAAGTCTAACAGCACATGAACATTTATCTTATGGTGATCTTCATATGATCAATATTTAAGACATAATGTTTGAAAGTAATGTGAAACAGATCCTGAGATTTAGGTGGGACTGACTTCATGAAACATAAACTTCCACCATAAATCTATTAATGGGAAAATGCCTGAAAATTAGTAAGAGATATTAAAAAAATGATAGAGTTTTGCCCCTTAAAGTGAAATGATGCTATTTACCAATGAAGATAGAATGGGCAATTAAGAGGTAAGTTAAGAAAAATCATACAAAGTTGCACATGTAGTAGATTCTAGTGAATATGAAAGATATAAAGAGTAGCAAAACGTGACAAAACAGATAGTTAGAGCTTAACAAAGAGAATATGGAAAGAATTTCGAAGAAACATCAAATTCGTGACAAAAATCTTATATGGTTATTAGAAAAAAATGAAGTGACAGAAGAAATTTGTATCCCTGAAAACTGATTATGGTGATGTCAATGGAAATAAAGATAATTAATTTGGGTCATTACTTGCAGTAGAGCATGCCATATTTCGCATAGAAACAATTATAGATTTAGTGACACAGCCTGATCTAAATTAATGAAAACAATTTCACACTAGTGGAAAATTAATGGTATTAACAGCAGCAAATTGCAAGGATCAGATGGTTTCAATCTCAGGATTTTAACTGAAGTAGGTGAAAAGTTTATGGTTGCAATAACTGTAATCTTCCAAACTTCTCTTGATTCAAGACCATTTCTTTAAATCAGTAAATTAGATGTGTCATTCTGCATTTTAAGAAAGGTGGTGCTTAGACTAGCATCTTTTGTCGGGAAATTTTTAGACTGAACATTGAAAAATTTTTAGCTGCTCAGAGGCAGCATGGATTTTTAAACGATATGCACACCAGATAAAGTGCGTTTAAGTTTTTGAAGCGGTGACAAAAGTAAGACTCAGGAAAATCTATAGTGTTGTTTATTTGACAATACAGAAAGTAGCAGGTAAAATTCCTCATAAGAGACTGTTAACTAAAAGCAAAGGTTATAGAATCAAAGGACAATTTTTGACCTGGTTCAAAATAAGGAGACAGAGAAGATGGTTAATGAACAGGAACATTAATTGGGAGAATGTGGTGTCCTGCAGGGAATGTGTGCTGGGGCTTCAACGATCCACGAGTCATCAGTAATATAGATGATAGGATGGAAAGCCACATATCCAGGTTCGGCAGTGACAAAGATAGATAGTTGGTGAGTAGTGTCGATGGAAGCATGTAATTACTAAAAGATATTGATAGCTTAGGTGGATGGGCCAAACTATGTAGGTAAATATAAGGTAATTCATTTTGAACTTGAAAAAATAGATTGGTATACTTTCAAAAAGAGGAAGATCTAGATACAGTGGAGGCTTAAAGAGACTTGGGGTCCAGGGAAAAATATCATGTACAAGTGCAGGAAATAATCAAAAAACTGAATGCAATGTGGGACTTTATAGATGACTATAACATCATGTGCTTGAAGTCAAACTTAAGCTGTACAAGTTTATTCTAAACCGTACCCAGAGTGGCGCATACAGACACATCTTAGAATGGATATATTAGCCTTGGAGGGAGTCCAGCATACATTCAGTGGAATGATACCTGGACACAGCAACGAATGATTCCGTAAAATTTGATTAAGTTTCCAGGATAAAAGGAGGAAAAGATAGCCTCTGAAAATCTAAACAATTTCTACCAATTGGAGAGCTTCAGACTAAGGGGCCATAGTCTAAAACTTTGAGTGATCACTTGGTTGAAGCCTAAAACCTCTGTCCCAAATAGCAATTGATTCTAAATCAGTTCTTAATTTTAAAAGTGAAATTGATAGATTTTTGTTACCTAAACATGTACAGTGTGATCCATAGGTGTGTGGAATTAGGTCACAGATCAACTGTCATTAAATAGAACAACAGGTTTGAAGTACTAAGTCACCTACTCCTGTTCCAATGTTACTAATACCCATGGAATTTGGATCAAAGTTTCTGCCTACTTTGAACTTGGGCCTTTATGTTGAAGGGGCATGTTTGGTAAACAACGTACTAGCCCATTGAGCATCACAAGTGGGGCCCACGAAGGCATTCAGATCTGAGTTGTGGCTTGGACCACTGCATGTGCAAAAAAAAAATCACAGCATATTTTGACTCCTTGTAATAATGAACCGATTACCCATTTAAAGGATGTTTTTGAACCAGGAGCAAAGAAAGTGGGCAGCAACATTCTCCCCTATCTGAGCAGAATTTGAATTTCTGGATCGAACAGGTATAAAACTGCAACCCAGAGTGCTGCAGGGACCTTCCATGCATATTTTAAAAAGATGACTCAGTATGTTTTGATGTGCTACAATGCAGATCACAGGCGGATAATTCTGTGATTCTCTACATTTGAACTCCATGATATTTAGACAAGGAGAGGACAGAAGCTCCAAGTATTTCTCATATGGTCATTGTTTTTATCACTTTGGCCTCCACCTCATGTGGCTCTCCAACGCAGATTTTCTTTGCACAAGTTTTGCACTAAAGCTTTTCTTTAAGTTCAATAATTATAAATCTTGTCTTAATATTCCAGGTACCATAGCAGGTGGCCTTGTAGATGTTATGGATGATGAAGGTGTTGAATGTCCACTAAACCTAACCCTAACCCTAACCCTTCTCTACAGACTCCACAATGGTGGAGCTAATCTTAATGCAAAGACAGATAGACCGAAAGAAGCAGCAATATAGACAAATCATGGGTTCTTCAATAATTGCAACTATATAGTTGAAGAACTCCAGATAAATCTCCTTAGCAGAACCTCAAAATTTTCTGCTAATATAAAAAAAAGTAAAATGAAATGTGTCCAGGATGAATTATCTTTATTTCCTTCATAAATTGCTACTGATGCTCATCAGAATTAACTTTAATAAACATGCATTCCTCTTATTTCTTCCAGGATGGCTTCATGAATTGGCAAAGAGGTTGGGAACTCCATATGTTTCCATTTCTTCAATGAGTGCCTACAACTCTGTGAACTCCACAAGCCAGGTCACCTCTGTTAACGCCAGCTCTGGAACTAACAGTTCCAGCATTGAACTGCTCGGTGGTCCCTCAATCCGAAGCTCCTACATCACTTCTCTCTACTTTGCACTCAGCAGCCTAACCAGTGTGGGTTTTGGGAATGTGTCAGCTAACACTGACGCTGAAAAGATCTTTTCCATTTGCACCATGTTAATAGGAGGTAGGTTTGCAGTATTTTCCAGTAAGCTTCTTTTCTCTTCCCAATGTTGACAGGAGAAATGCCTGCATTCTTTTAGGATGGAAGAAAAATCAATTCCAAACCCACTGAGGCTAGTTAACATAAGTTTAGCAAATATCAAAATTTGCCCCAAGAAGTTAACTCAGTTTTGAATGAAAACAGAAAAGGCTGGAAAGATTCAGCACATGTAGCGTTATTGTGGAGAAACAAGCAGAGTTCACAGGCTGGACTTTCAGCGTGGGGCAAAACGGCTGCAGGCATTGGGTCATGATGCCTCCAGAACAGGAACCAATTTTCAATGTCCTAGTAAACAACATCTACCACTCGGCCCTCATCAATCTTCTTGGATACTTCCACAAAAAACTCAACCAAGTTTGTGAGACACCTATCTCCTGTTACCAGTTGCTGTGCTAGAGATGGGAGCAGTGGTTAGGATTTAAAGTTGATGAACTCATTGTTCAAGCAGAAGGCCTTAAAGAACCCACTCAAAAGGTGAAGAGCTCTTGCTCAAACCTTTCTTTTATTATTTTCCCCAGCTTACCACAAGATTTCTACCATCACAGCTTTCATTTGTATGCCCCAGTTGGAACCCAGCGGTAGGTGAGAAAGATATTTCTGTATTTGGCTAAGATTCCAACAATTAAAAAAACAATGCTTTTTACTTGTTTTTATTCAAACTTGTTTCAGCAGCAGGTTAAAACATAATTTAGTGCAGGCTGGAATATTTTGGAATAGTATTTCAATGCTTGAGCAGAAATTTCTTGTACACTTTGCTAAAGGAAGAGAATTGCATTCCATATTAATAATGAGCTGTTGATAGTCAATATGGCCTGAGGCTGAAAGATTAAACTTGCCCAAACTCTCAATATTAATTGGGTTGCCGTGTTCTTGATCTTTAACTGGCTTGATTCGGATTGGATTCATATTTCTTGTTCAAAGGTTTCTTCTTCAAGAATTATAAACTATAAGCTGAGTCAGATTCTAAGTATTGGCTTTGAACTTAATGGCCTTGAGTGGAGAGAAAAGTAGAATCAACTCAGGTCAAACTGAGGACTGCTTCTTTCAGGTTTTGTGGATATATGTCAGTTTGAGGGTATGAATACAACAGTGTTGAAATTATGCCCTGTGATAGTAGTTCATATGAGTGCTCAGCCTGTTGGCTTAAAATTTATAATCTGAGCAAAAATGTTTGAAATCTGTTGACAATGGTCATTTCATGCAACACAGAAATAGTTTATGTAAGGCTATACGAATTGTTTAGTTTCAGCTTCATGTTCCAATAATCCTTCTCTGAATATAGCTGCATCTACTACCACAGATGGTTTGGCCTCAGCTGTACTGTTTTCTGAGGACCATCGGTGTTCCTGTCTACATATTGAACTAAAGTACCAGAGGGAGAGTATCAAGTGTAGAAGTATGTTTTTTACAGCCATTGTAAAAATGTCAGCAATGAAATAATAATGCTTGGGTTTACGTCTCTGCTGTGAACTGCTGAGGTTTTAGTTGCTGTTTGATTTGTTGATTGGCGTTGCTGCATATACATGGTAAGATCCTGAATCAAGCTTGTTAATTGTGTAGGTTATTAAACATTCCATGGAATTGCAGGCTCTCTTTTAAGCTGTTTTACAGCATTATTTATATGCCAGCTATTGAATAATTTATATTGATTTCACGCACAATATACTTTAACTGCAGTTTCTTTTTTTTTGGTGTGTATTAAAGGAAAAGGATCACAATATGTACAGTAGTCATGAGAGCTAGGATTTTTTTTTCGATTCAGCAGGCTCTGAATGCTTTAATAACCTGAGTTTCATTTCTTATTTTTTCTTATGTTCAGTTAAGGAATTACTTTCCCAGTCATTTAACAGTCAGACAATAATTAATTTCATTTTTTTGGCCGTTTCAATGCATGTCAGTCTTCACTATCTGTGAAAGTGTAAATGCTCCAGTCATGTTTCATTAGCTTTTAGTGGTGGAAATCAAAATTACTACCAGTCTGTGGAATTGTTACCAAGTGCTAAACAGTTTTTCACAGAATGTCAGTATAAACAGTGCCCCAGAGAGGAACTTAGACAATTAAAGCAGTTAAATAGGCTTTTGCCAATTTTTCCATTCCTACTGTGTTCTCACCTGCTTTCATGTGAGAATGTGTGGATTCACATTCAAATAAAACTCCATAGACTCAGTTACGAAAGGTTTAATGCTGATTTAGACAGAGTTCAGATGTACGCTTTTCTAATCAGAGTTTCATTTCAACTGCATATCACAAAACTCCAGTATACTAATTACTTGTTCTCACTTCTACATCTCACTTAATTCAGGGTCTACTGTTGTAAGGAAAACAACCCCAGCCTTTCCAATCTTTCTTTATACGTGCAATTTTCAACCCTGACAACATTCTTGTAAATTTACTTTGTATGCTCTCTGGACCAATTATGTCCTTATCGTAATATGGTAACTAGAACTGTACATGAAAGTCCAGCTGTGGCCTGACCAAGATCTTATTTGTTCCCTGCATTGCATCCCTGCTCTTGTATTCAATTCCTCACCAATGAAGGAAAGTATCTCATGCTTTCTCTTTTACATTATATACCCATCTTGCCACTTTCAGGAACCAATAACGTGCAAGATCTCTCAATTCCTACCCATCTCAGTACACTCACTCCTTCTCCATGGACATTGGCCTCTGAAATCTGTCAGCCCACCTTGACCATCCTAGCACTCCTACTATGTAATGGCAGTGTTATCTCGGCGCACACTTGCTCTGCAATCGCACCAGAAACTTGCAAAAAGTAGCAGGTTGGCTTTTACACAAACAACACTAGTAAAGCGTTGAAACCCATGTCTGGCCCTTGTAACTGCCAATAATAACATTGATATGGGTTGCTGGCCACAGTACTGAGTTCAGCAGGCACTGTCTGTCCCAGCCTATCCCCTGGAATTTCGAAGTGCAATTGTGAAAAAGGCTTACTGGGTGTTCACACCAACCCTACTGCCAAAGTTAGCACAATGTCTATGAGAAACTAAGGATTTTGGGACAAAATCCTTAGTTTTGCCTAAGGATATACAGTAAATAGAGATTGTGAATTTGTACAATGTATGACCAGATCACTGAAAGTTGCCACCCAGGTTGATAGCGTTGTTAAGAAGGCGTACAGTATGTTAGGTTTTATTGGTAGAGGGATTGAGTTTCGGAGCCATGAGGTCACGTTGCAGCTGTACAAAACTCTGGTGTGGCCGCACTTGGAGTATTGCGTACAGTTCTGGTCACCGCATTATAGGAAGGATGTGGAAGCCTTGGAAAGGGTGCAGAGGAGATTTACCAGGATGTTGCCTGGTATGGAGGGAAGGTCTTATGAGGAAAGGCTAAGGGTCTTGAGGCTGTTTTCGTTAGAGAGAAGAAGGTTAAGAGGTGACTTGATAGAGACATGCAAGATGATCAGAAGATTAGATAGGGTGGACAGTGGGAGCCTTTTTCCTCGGATGGTGATGGCTAGCACGAGGGGACATAGCTTTAAATTGAGGGGTGATAGATATAGGACAGATGTCAGAGGTAGGTTCTTTACTCAGAGAGTAGTAAGGGCGTGGAATGCCCTGCCTGCAAAAATAGTAGACTCGCCCACTTTAAGGGCATTTAAATGGTCATTGGATAAACATATGGATGATAATGGAATAGTTTAGGTTAGATGGGCTTCAGATTGGTTTCACAGGTCGGCGCAACATCAAGGGCCGAAGGGCCTGTACTGCGCTGTAATGTTCTATGTTCTATGTTCTATGTTCAGCAGGATAATGCTTTTGTGCTAGAAATGCAAAAATTGTTAAATCATCTTCAAAAATGCCAACTTTGTCATTTACTGACTTTAAAATAGACTTTGATTGCTAGATAGATCTCATCTTGACCAACTTAACACCATTATGCATTTTATTTGCAGAAAGTTGATATTATTAAAAATGCAATGATTGAACTCATGTTAGTGATGAAGATGAAATAATGGAGTGATTTAAAGGCTGTTATTTGGCACAGATGTATTTAATATTTAGGCTATTTTACAATGATACACAATGATAAAGAGAGCAGTGGACTCGCAGGGAAGAAACAGCAATATTTCATGCCTCGCACAAAGTGAAAAATAAATGCAAAAGAAAAACCAGCATAATCTCTCATTTGGGCAATAAGTTGGGCTGATCTGAACACAGCTTGGACCAGGCCAACTATGTTCAGAAATCACAGGCCTAGATTTAGCCTCGCCATTGTTATCTGCAGCCATAAGTTTATAATTGCCTTGCTAAATGTGGAGCTAGAAGGTGCAGTCAAGCTTCTTCTGGATCCACTTCATTCTCTCAGACTACATGCAGTCACCACATTCCCATTTGGAATTTGTCCCACTTACTTTCATTCCCAGCTATCCCCTCACCATTGCCATCCCTTTCTGAACACTCACTGCTTGATCACTACCCTTTCCGATTCCCACCCTCTTAGCTGATATTTTGGCACTTGTCAATCTGTCCTTTATAAGCACTGAGCTGAGGCTACTGCCAGGGATGCTGTGGCCTCTATCTCAAAGCAGTAATGCTGGCAAGATTCCTGGCACATCAACCTCCTCAGTTACATCTACAAATAATGAGGCAACTTGCCCTTTGTGATAGTGAGAGTAGATTTTTAACTTCACAAGTACACAAAAGATAAATAAGTTAGTTCTTACTGATATGCTTCAGACTTATGTCAACATAAAGCTGGTAAAAATTTGAGAAATTATAAATTTGTTGAGTTAATCCCAGCTCAGCACTTGCTGTGCTAAAGAAAACACATTTTGCATTGAACTTTGCTTTGTGCATTCCTTCAACAGCTCTCATGCATGCTGTAGTATTTGGAAACGTGACTGCTATAATCCAGAGAATGTATTCCCGACGGTCCTTGTACCACACCAGGACAAAAGACTTGAAGGATTTCATCCGTGTTCATCGAATTCCCAAGCAGCTGAAACAGCGAATGCTGGAATGTTTCCAGACTACATGGTCTGTCAATAATGGCATTGATGCCAATGAGGTATGTGACGCTGACACTTCCACCTACTTCGTTAACCACTGGGCCCTTACCTCCAATCCAGGAATTGAAGAGCCAATTATTCTCTGAGGTATAATAACATGTCATGTAAGAAAAAGTCATCTTCCATTTTTCCTCACATTGTTGGTAAGTTGTTCCCTTACCTGTACAGCCAAACCAGTCTATTTGAATAAGTAGAGTGTAGAGCTGGATGACCACAGCAGGCCAAGCAGCATCATAGGAGCCGGAAAGCTGACGTTTCGGGCCTAGACCCTTCTTCAGAAATGGGGGAGGGGAAGGGGGTTCTGAAATAAGTAGGGAGAGAGGGGGAGGCGGATAGAAGATGGATAGAGGAGAAGATAGGTGGAGAGGAGACAGACAGGTCAAAGAGGCGGGGATGGAGCCAGCAAAGGCGAGTGTAGGTGGGGAGGTAGAGAGGAGATAGGTCAGTCCAGGGAGGACAGACAGGTCAAGGGGGCGGGATGAGGTTAGTAGGTAGGAGATGGGGGGGGGGATTGAGGTGGGAGAAGGGGATAGGTGGGAGGTAGGACAGGTTAGGGAGGCAGGGACGAGCTGGGCTGGTTTTGGGATGCGGTAGCGGGAGGGGAGATTTTGAAGCTTGTGAAATCCACATTGATACCATTGGGCTGCAAGGTTCCCAAGCAGAATATGAGTTGCTGTTCCTGCAACCCTCGGGTGGCAGCGTTGTGGCACTGCAGGAGGCCGAGGATGGACATGTCATCTGAGGAATGGGAGGGGGAGTTGAAATGGTTCACGACTGGGAGGTGCAAGGAACAGGTTGCAGGAACAGCAACTCATATTCTGCTTGGGAACCCTGCAGTCCAATGGTATCAATGTGGATTTCACAAGCTTCAAAATCTCCCCTCCCGCTACCGCATCCCAAAACCAGCCCAGCTCGTCCCCGCCTCCCTAACCTGTTCTTCCTCCCACCTATCCCCTCCTCCCACCTCAAGCCCCACCCCCATCTCCTACCTACTAACCTCATCCCGCCCCCTTGACCTGTCCGTCCTCCCTGGACTGACCTATCACCTCCCTAACTCCCCACCTACACTCACCTTTGCTGGCTCCATCCCCGCCTCTTTGACCCGTCTGTCTCCTCTCCACCTATCTTTTCCTCTATCCATCTTCTATTCGCCTCCCCCTCTTTCCCTATTTATTTCAGAACCCCCTTCCCCTCCCCCATTTCTGAAGAAGGGTCTAGGCCCGAAACGTCAGCTTTCCTGCTCCTATGATGCTGCTTGGCCTGCTGTGTTCATTCAGCTCTACACGTTGTTATCTCAGATTCTCCAGCATCTGCAGTTCCTATTATATTTGAATAAGTAACAATCTGTTTATGTAGTTTAAATCTCTTAAAGCCAATTAATGTGGCTGTGCACCAGTATGAATCTGTTATCATCTGCTAAAATGCCCATGAACATAAATTTAAAACAATGAGAGAGTCCAAGAAATGCAATCCACAGGTGAGTGTATCCAATAATCTTTCCATATCGTGGTATCTCCTCTTCTGAAAATGTTGGTTGCATCTCCCCAGAGAACTTTGCAGCATAGAAGGAGGTATTTGTGTCAATGCCAGTTCCTTGACAGAAAAGACAAAACTAATTCTGTTTTCTGCCTATAGTCTTGATAGCTTCTGTTTCAAATGTTTATATATTCTTCCCTTAAGAATACAGTGGCATCTGCTTCAACTACTCCCTGTGGCACTGTATTCCATGCTTTAAAAACAGTGGCAAGCAACTACTTCTATTTTATCTCCTTAACCCAATGGATACAATTTTGAATTAATTACCCTGTCCTCATCATATACACCAAACAAAGGAAATAGTTATTTCTTCTTCATTCTGTCAGCAGCTTTCATCACCTTTAATATTCTCCTGCTAAAGCCGTTTTAGCCTGGTGAAATCTTTTGGCATTTCTTAATTTTCTTCAAGGCAAAGCAATTGCTGTAACATATTCAGACTTCCCTTCCCCACCAGTTGTAAAATCATTTTTGTGGGAGCGTGACTTCGAAACCCGGAGGTGACTGGATCAGGGCAACATGCAGAAGTTTTGCTCAGACAAGGGATAAGGGAATTGCATTCCTAACTATGAACCTGCTGTTCAACCAAAGAATGCCAACAGTTAATCTGAATTTACACATTTTCTTTAGGGTGCCAAGGCTATCTGTAATTCTCTCTTCTTTAACTAGGAAAATATGTCAACTCCCAAAGTCTCTTACAACTACCACAGGGCAGTGTTGAAAGTTGGATCTTTCCTGGTTTATATCATTCAAATATTAATTTACCTATTGAGCTATACAGATCCATCCATCATCCTTCAATATTCGTCAAGATCATAGTTTTAAAATAGACTGGTCCAAATATTACAATCAGTGCTGGAGCCATTGCACCCAATGTTGATCAGACAGAGAATTGCACACTTAGACACATTTAGAAAGGCTCTGACTTCCAATGCCGCAGCCAGAACTCCCTCAGTGCGGGAATCCATACAGAAACCTCTGATGAGAACCAGGGCAAAAGGTTCGTCCCCTTTTTACGGCACTTGCTATCATAAAGCAAGTTTTAATGTCTGGTGTGAATATTACTGAATGGGTGAATGCATGAATGAGTGAAGGGTGGGATTGTAGGAAGGGCTAAGTGAGTGCCTTGTTCAGCAGCTAGTGAAGTGATAAATCGGAGTGGTTGATGGAAAGAGTAGTCAGTTGGCAGGTGAGTGGGGTAGTAGGATGGCTGACGGATAGGTTGATAGGTGGTTAGCGTGGTCACTGGGCAAGGTTACAGATGGAAAGGTTGTATGTTAATCCAACAAGTAGTTAAGCAGATGATTGGGAACAATTTATTCTTTAATTGACTGCGTAGATATAAAGGGAGAGAAAAAAAAAGAGCTTTTATGAGACAGCGGTAGTGCTGCTACCTCTGAGATAGGAGGCCTGGGTTCAACTCCCATTTACTCAAGAGGTATTTCACAATATATCTGAAGAGGCTGATTTGAAAATTTCTAGAAAGGAAGGCTGGTTTGAAAGAATAAAGGGAGAGCAGGTAAGACTGAGAAGTTAACAAACTCTATCTACAAAGAAAGGTTTCTATCTCATCAACTAGCTTGGATCAAAATTGATAATATCACCCGAGGATAGTTTCCTAAAGATAGGATTTGGAGATTGGAAGCAAAGAATTTTATTCAGACAGAAGGGACCTCAGGAAGGACATAATGACCTTGGAGAGGGTACAACAAAGGTGTACAAGGCTGGTACCTGGATTTCAGGGATTAAGTTATGAAGAGATATTATACAAACTAGGCTTGTTTTTCTATAATTTAGAAGGTTAAGGGGTGATCTGATTGAAGACTTCCAGATATTAACAGGAAAAGACAGGGTAAAGATAAACTATTTCCACTGCTTGAAGATTCTACAACAAGTGACATAGACTAAAAATTCAGCCCAGACCACTCAGGAGAGATGTTAGGAAGCACTTCTACATACAAAGGATAGTAGATGTTTGGAACTCTCTTCCACAAACAGCAGTTGATGCTAGATCAGTTGTTTTAAGTCTGAGCTACATCAAGTTTTGTCAAGAAAAGGTATTAAGGGATATGGGCCAAAGGCAGGTATATGAAGTTAGGTCACAGATCAGCCATGATCTCATTGAATAGTGGAACAGACTCAAGGGACTGAATGGTCTACTCTGTTCCTATGTTCCTAAGACCGTATTTGGAGTTACTTTGGAGAAAAATGATTGAAATTAAACAGTCGTGCTATGATTTGCCACTGATATTTTGTTAAGGTCAACCTTACAGTTGACAGAAAAGTAGGTATGTGGACACAGGTTACACTGTTACTTCTTATTAACCAGTGTCATATGCAAAGTATTTTCAGAGCTAGAGACTTAACAATTGGACACTGAAGAAGATTTGGAAATTCAATTAGAATTTATGGACACCATTTTGAAGAAAGATGATGTAATAAATACTTATGATGAATGGGCAGACTTTGAAATATTTGGAAAGCAGGATGGATATTCTATAAAAGATTTTATAATGGAATTTAACAAACTCTATGTAAGATTGCAAAAATTCTACTTGGAGATTCCTAATTCAGTACTTGCCTTTATGTTGTTGGACTGTGCTAAGTGTCAAACTTGGGTAGACTCCTTATATTAACTGGAGTTTAATCTTCAGAAATAAACACTTTTTAGAATAGATGGAAGAAGCCTTAAAAAAAAGTCTTGAGAAAATATTGACTCTCAGCAGCCTTCATGGCTCATGTTGAACATTCAACAGTCATACAAAGGATGGACAATTCATTGATATCGAAAACATGGGACTACCCAGACACAAGCTGAAGGCGTCTAGGAAAAAGGAGAGTCATATCTCCCTTCTGGTAGTTCTAGCAGATGACAGAAATTATGGAATTTAAATAGAACAATGATCCCTAGGAATGCCCATGGTGTGGTCAACAGATGTCTTGGCTGTGACTGAAACATAACATTATGCAATGAATTTTCCGAAATGGAATAACAAGGTTTTGAAATTACGCACAGCACTGAATAAGATGATGGTGATACTGATGAGGGAGAATTGCAGGAATTGTACCAGTTACAAGAAGTTTCAGTGCAATAATCAACATTTTGGTCATGGAATCATTCAGTTGTGTCCAGTCTTCCCTCTATTGACACCATCTATGCTTCCTGCTGCCTCAGGAAAGCAGCCAACATCATCAAAGACCCCTCCCACCCCAGTTATACTCTCTTCCACCCTCTTCCATTGGGCAGAAGATACAAAAATTTGAAAAAACACACCAACAGATTCAAGAACAGCTTCTTGCCCGCTGCTATCAGACTTAGGAATGGTCCTCTCATATACTAGAGTTGATCTTTCCCTGCACCTTCTCTGTAGCTGTAACACTATATTCTGCATTCTGTTCTATTACCCTGATGTGCTTGTGTAAGGTATGATTTGTCTGGATAGCAGGCAAAACAATACATTTCACT